TGCCAATCTTTACAGCCCTGCTACCAAATCCTCTAAAGTGACACCTCTTCCTATAGGGTAGTCATCCCCAATATCCAAATTCTACTCACTAATGTACATATAGGTTAGTTTCACATTTCAAATGCGTCTCATCTTTCTACTTTTACCATGACTCTTTAACGTGGACACTCTGTTGGTATATGCCCTTGAGCTAATTAGATTGGTCAAGGAATATATATTGGCATTTAATGCATATTTAATCGCATAATTATATGTGATAAGGGTTTTCTTTCTTGTTAGTACAATAATAAGGAGTTATTAAGTGCTAATTGGATGAAGCCCATGGAACATAAAGGCCTTGCAAGAGAATTATAAAGTTGTTATAATTATGAGATCACTATGCATAAAAGCCATGTTCCTAAAATTGCTCCTGGTCATTGTATTATCAAGATAAGGCGTCAACAATGCTCAAAGACTGGTACATGTTAAGCCTCCTTACTTAGGAAGTAAACAATCGATCTCATAGATTGAAGTATATGAGATACTTGAGGATAACATGTAAGTGCTTCTTAAAGAACAAATTCACTGAACATGATCTGCTTTAAGAACTCCATTTGGTAATTTACTCAAGTGTCTATGGAAAATGTTCTCATTGATAGTTGTGCAACTTGTCCTTAGACTTGAGACACCAAGTCATCTTGTATAGGGAATAACATACTTTGATTTCACCTCTATGGGTCTAAAAGCAACCAAACGCCTAAACAGGGTGTTTTTGGGTATGCCATGAAGCATGCGAAGGTGAATGAGTGGTTAAGAGAGGATTCATCACCCCAAGTGATATAAGGGGATGTATCTCACTTGTTCTCAATTCTTGATTAACTTGTATAAAGTCTTTGGCCAAAGCATGATAAATTTAAGGAAAGTTAGTTTCCTAAATTCATAAGGTTAGTTATGAATTATGAGAACTAATATAGAATGTCATAAGTAGACACCGGGCCATGCTTAATACATATCTGGGATATTTGATAAAAGGATCGCATTGTACTGAGAGGCTTATCACTGAAGGGTTTTGTCAAAATCTTTAATTGACTCTCTAAAATTTGGATGGTCATGATGTATTGCTAGATGC